ATCCCATTTGATAATAAATATTGATAACTAAAGATAGAAAATTATAAATTGATATTATTATAGGATTAATTAAGAATAATTAAAACATAAATTTTATTTTAATCTAACGAGACTTATAAGTTTTGGTGTAATATTTCAAAGATATATTATTCATATAATTAAATCATTTGTTTTCCTATTTAAGGTTCGATTAAATTCTAAATATTTAATAATGAAAAGGTATGTGTACATTCTATTTACTTTATACAAACAAATCTGTTATTTTAATAAATTATTATTTTATCGTGTAATAAGTTATTGTTTATTTCTTTGTACAGGTTTTTAATTCTTGAACTTAACCACTTAAAAAGCTATAAATTATTATTTTTAAATATGCTATTACTTAATTTTTTTAATTTATTTCTAAACAATTATAAATTAGTAAAGAGTATTTGATGGGTAACCAAATGCGCTTGGCATGCCCTAGATCATTAAATCATTCTCAATAATCGCTCATAATATTTTATTCTGAGTGTAGTTATTGCAAATGAAGTCTAGTAAAACACTAGTTATAAAAATTGTCATAAAGAACATGATTTACGTGGTAAATAAGCATATACAACATTTTACGAGGAACTAAATTATCTTATAACAACGACTTACAGACATAACTATGCATTATTTATGTTTACGAATGATTGTCAAAAAAACATTACCCTATTGTCATTATTTTACGTTTTTTCGTATCTGCATTGTAGTCCTTATTTTTTAAATAAATTAGCTTAATTAAGCTAATTTTTTTGTTTCTAACCTCTTTTAAACTCAACATACTTTTTAAAATCTTGTAATGTATTATTTTATAATTTATTAGTTGACTTTTCTTCCGTTTTATTGAAATTCTATTGATATTTTTGAGGAATATTAAAAATAAATTAAAAAGCAAAATATGCAACTTGAATTATATCCCATGTTGGTTCAAGTTTACTCATCCTTTGCGCACTGTTTCTCTTTAATTGTTAGGTATGTAATATACACGGCACATTTTTATTTTAAATCAACGGTATAAGCGAGAAAAAGAAGCTCTCTACATAAGCATCTGACCTTGTTGTTTTTCCATATTGTTAAACGTTCGTTTATATGAAACGCAATATATGACTTTTTACGCGTTTTTTTTTTTTAATTATTTACCTTTATATAGTTTTTGCCACGAGAATGTCAGAAAGTTTGTTAAAAACTAAATTAACACTTGTAATATATAGTAAAAGTCTTTTTTTTTTTTTTTTTTTTATTGTATATAATTTAATGTTTAGTAATATTATATTTTAACCATGATATGAGTAGTCCCACTGTTTGGTAGGGTAATACAATTTTTTTAAGTAATTTTATTGTATTTAAAATTTAGCAAAAACAAATACTTTTCTTTCTTAAATTTCAAAAAAATTATGTCAACATATTTTAAAAATTACCTCTTCACATTTCAAAGCACTTCTCATAGTTGATCCTTACGCGGCGAATCATTAAGTGTCATTGTTCAAACTTTGTGGGATTTCATAACACTGTTCGCAACTAAAATATTTTAAACTATAGAAAATTTTACCATAATATAAAATAATAATAGATAGTAGATAATACGCGATTTATAGTATGGAGTTTTTCTCTGTGCTAAAATACAATGAATAATAATTATATGTATACGAATATACGATGTCAATGAAATTTTTTTTTTGTTTACATATTATACTTATTTTTAATTGGTTAGTATAATATTTAACCTTAATTTATACAATAACATTACGGAAAATTATAAATTTCTTGATTTTACTTGTCATGAACTTCATCATATAATACATTTACACTAAATGATTTTTTAATGATTTTTTTTTTACTTTTCTAACTTACAACTAGATTTTAAGATTGCTCAATTCCTGTAATCATGTTAAAAAATATACAGAATTGTCTACCTCTGGGAGGAATGCAACTCCTGTTTCCCTATGGTTATCAAATTGCTTATATTATACTGTTTTCTGTTGTTATGCTCTTCGTCGCTAACCTCTCGGTAGTGCTCCCTCGAGAATATCTGTGACGATGTGACGCCTTAAAATTTAATTACTTACACCTATATTGCAGCCATACGATGTATATTTATACAGCGAATAAGTGCGATTACCTGTCCCGAGAACTGCTTCCAATTTACATTACACGCATGTTCGGCTTAATCAATTATTAATCTATGTTTGATTAGCCTCGATAGTGTTAAGTTTTGAAAAAAAATTAATATTTTACAGTAAAACTTTACTTGATTACTTTCACCTCCAGTTAAATGAATATAAAATAAATAGATACCATATCTAATACAAATAAGCTTTTAAGCCATCTACTATTTTAAACTGTCATTATTGATTCTAAATAATGTAAAGATTAATTTACTCTATAAATACATTTGGTAAAGAATGTCGGTTCAATTTCAAATGGAAGATAGCATCTATTTTATGACTAGAAGAACATAAACCGAGAGCCTAGTAATAGTTTAACATTTAACCTTAGACCCAATAGAAGAGCTAGGACATGATTGTTTTTTAAGGATTCATAACGTTCGGACAACTTAATTAACAAATATGCATTGGCGCTTCTTTCTTTATTCAATTAACACTTATTATAAAACTACAGAAATAATTAGAGTTGCTCAGTTATTGCGTACAAATTATTATACAAATTTTACTTTATATATTACGTTTTAAAGTAGTTCACGTATCTACAGAAAGTGGCCTAGTCGAGAGGGAGGTTAAAAGTCTGTAACTCCCCTTTGACTAATTATTACTATAAATTTTATATGAATTTGGCACTAGTAAGATTATGTGAAAAGCCAAAAAAAAAATAAAGCTCCTAGCAAAAATCCTGGTTACGCCACTACCCGCAGACACGTAAAATTGGACTCCTAAAAAAGTTCAGTAAATTAGTCGATTTCATTTTATTTTGAAATCAAATTATTTTCAATACTATGAGTGTTCCACGGTGAAAAATATGAGAGATAGAACCCATATGGGTATACACACACACACACACATATATATATATATTTCAGAAGGGGTTGTAATTTCTTACGTACGTTTCCCAGGACTAAACCCTTAGAATGCCACTAAACAATGCATTAAGGCTATTTTTTTTTATATTTTTAATTTATTTAAACCAAAATCAAAATTTGTATAGTTTCATCTTTAAAAGGCTTCTTCCTATAAGCTGAGGAGGTCAAATTTTTTACAATTCTCATGATTAGTTGTATCATAAAATAAATATTTTTATTGTTTTTGATTTATCAATAAATTAGTTGAAATGTTTAAAATTTTTTAAAAAAGGATTAAATTAAAAAATGTTTAATAAAGTATAATTTTTATTTTATGAAAAAAATAATGGCATTTAAAAACTTCATATACACAAATGGTTGTTGTTACAAACCTTTGCTTATATTCATTTCACGATAAGCTTATGCTTAGGCTCATAAAATATATCATTGCAATGCTGTTATTACTATGTAGTATATTTAATTTGTTTACGAATGTGGTTTGCAGTGTAATTATTGACATTATTATTGTAAAAATATAAGCATCATAATGACTAATTTAAAATAAATACCCCATTAATGATGAAAGTTTAAGACATGTTGAGACCTCTCTACCTTTAACGTAACACAAATGAATATAATTTATGTTCAATGATAAGTAAAATTTTATAACTTAACCGTGNATGGTTTGCAGTGTAATTATTGCCATTATTATTGTAAAAATATAAGCATCATAATTACTAATTTAAAATAAATACCCCATTAATGATGAAAGTTTAAGATATGTTGAGACCTCTCTACCTTTAACGTAACACAAATGAATATAATTTATGTTCAATGATATGTAAAATTTTATAACTTAACCGTGAAAACAATTTTAAACAGTAGAAATGTATGTTATGAGGACCTATTTTTATTCATTGTAGATTATAGTATCGTTACACTATCTATATTATAAAAACCATGCTTCCCCGAAAGTGAATATACTTTCTGGACGTCACCTAGTTTTTTCATCATAAACAGAGTTTACTACTTAATATCAATTTCTTTCGTTTCAAATCCTATCAATTTCATATATATTTTATCAGTTATTTTTGAGGATGGATACTAGATTTATTAGATTAAACTATGAGTTGTTAGCCGAATTTCAACAATTTGAAAAAGTACGTGATCCTATAACAATTTAAATCGTTAAAACTCTTTAATATAATAAATCTTTTTTTTTTTTAAATTAGAAAGGAACTTAAAAGGACAAAATCTTGGACTACTATTTTTAATTAATTGTCGAATGTTTTTTCTAATATATTTGTGTATTTAAATTTAGTTTTACTTAGATTTGAAATATCCGTTGTTCATTTTAATTGAGTGTTTAATTTTTTCCCTTATCATCGATTTATTAGTAATCATGCTATTCCCCTCTTAATAACTTTTAAAACCAAATCTGGTTGATTATTTCATTAGATGTATGTAACTCGAGTTTCCTGATATAAAACTAAATAACATACTGACCACAAAAATCATGAAATTCTATCTATAAATTACTAAGCTATAAATAAACTTTATTCGTTATTTTTATTAAATATACGGAAATCATTTTCATACTAATTTAATTAAATACTTAGTTACTGCAAATTTTATTGGTAAATTTATGAAATGTAATATAAAATTAAGCATATATTATTAAAGTGCTATATAGTATATAGAGTATATTTAATAAGTTGTTATATAAAATATTTTATAATCATATTTAAACATGAACAAAAATATTTTAAGTAAAAAACAAACTATAATAATAAAATATATATAACAAAAATCACAAGTGTATATAGGTAAAACTTTTTTCAGTGCTAGATTAAGTAATTTATTAACCCTTTATATGATATAAATTATTTATATATTAAATTATATTTTAATGATAAATTATATGTAAAATGTAAATTTTAATTAATTAAAATTTCTATAGGAATTACAACGTGAGATGGAAACAAAAAGTCTTTCTCTAAATTCTCTCGACAACGGAGGAAAAAAACTTCTTGGAAATCTCTCCTCGCAAGAAGATTCAGTAATGCTTCAAAGGCGTTTAGAAGAAATGAATCAGCGTTGGAACCAATTGAAAAATCGCTCTAACAATATTAGGTAAAGTGTACATGTAGTTACATTTTGAAATTATTTGTCTATCTATTTATNTTTAAATTATTTGTCTACCTATTTATATTAAATATCTTACTGAAATGATATTACTATTATTTTTTTTAATGATATCAAATATTCTTCATTTTGTTTTTATTATTACTTTTTTGCATACCCAGTGTAAATTGGAACGTGCCATTTTATGTTTGTCCCTCGAGGCTTGTACACCCTGTTAAATCTCTCATTTATGTTATATGATTGTAATTTATAATTCCCTAGTAACTCATATAGTACCGTATGATATTGAAGTAATTCCGTCGGGTCGGAATCATATTCAACTTTCCCCTTTAATACATTATGTATCATGAACATGACCTTTTGGATGATTTATCTATTATGTAAAGTCAAAGTTTAACTCTTAAAATTATTAACACTCACTAATATTTTTTTAGGTTCTAATAAAATCTGTAAATTATCTTTTCAAAAAGTTTTCTAATTTTTGATTCTTTTTCATTGTCATTTTATCGCCTAAAGAGTAAAAAAAATTAAATAACTAAATTTTATTAAAAAAAGTTAAATTTTCAAGGTCGTGAGTTAAAAACCACTTGAATGTTCTAATAATTAAATACTTTGTGCATCTTGATATTAATTTTATTATAACAATAAAGTTATAGAAGCATTATAAAATAGAATTATTGTCATACGTCTCATAATGTGTCAAATAATCGGCGAATAATAGGGTGATTCTATTTAAAAAAACTGGAAGTTCATAAAAATATTTAATAATAAAATTTGGATTTACAATAAGAAAAATTGTGATGTTTTTATTTTCATTATATTGCACAATGCAACTTAATTTTTAATTATTTTTCATTTAAAGCCTTTTTTTTTTTAAGAACTTTACTGAGCTTAAATTATTTTAAATTCAATTTTACATAATGTAAATTACATTGATAAGATTTATTGATTAATACATGATAATAGGTATTATAATTATCAAGGAAAACCCAATAATACTTATGCTAATTTATCATTTTTTTTTTTTTAGAAATCGTTTAGAAAATAACACTGAACATTGGAATGCTCTACTATTATCATTAAGAGAATTAGTGGAATGGATAATAAAAAAAGATACAGAAATATCTAGTTTTGGTCCCTTAGGTAATGATTTGACTACATTACAAAAACAAAAGGTAATAAAGTAGTTTTGTTTGTAATTCAATATTTCTAAAAAAAATGTATCTATCTTAAGGATGATCATAAAGGATTTCATCGACAATTGGAAGAGAAAAGACCTGTTATTGAGTATAACTTACGTAGCGGCAGGCAATACATAAATATAGAATCTCAAATTACAGCCTCAGTAAAAAATGAAGGTAAATAATGATCTCATATGACTTATATTCATAAGACTCTTTAAAAGTAATTTATTTATTTATTCAATTTTTTTAATTGAAATAAAGGCTGCAACAACAAAGGCCATTGGCCTTTGTGATTACATGCTTATCAAGTGTATATCACAATAAAATGGCTATTTAAATAATTAGATTAAGTTAACAATGAGAGTGAATAAAAGTTGATCACTAGCACATAAGTTATATAGATATTATATTAAGATAAATAGTTTGGTAGCCTTGAGGAATTTTGTCATTTTTCGTACAGAGTTACAGTCTTGTTTCAGATATTGGGAGAAGTGGCGAGGTATCCCATGTGCATCTCTTTAATGTTCATACTTTTAAGAATTTGTGAGAATATCTTTGACAGAGTTAGTTATTCCACAAATCTCGCATATCGGTGGAGTGCTGATGTTCATTAAATACCCATGAGTTAGGTGTATGTGTCCAATTTTGAGTCTGTTAATGATGACTTGGTGTCTGCGTAGTATAAATACGGCCATTTTTGGTTGTTTTTTTTTCATTTTATGTAATTTAGTTTCAGTGCTTATTCATTCTTGTTGCCATAAAAATAGACATTTTTTATTACTGGTTGATTTGTTGTCTTGGATAGTGCATGAAGGTGTTATTGCTATATTGTCAACTTTTGCAGTTTCCTTTGCTATTATGTCTGCCTTTTCATTTCCTTGGATTAATGAGTGCTCTGGGTCCAATATCATTTTTATAGATATACCTTTGTGGTGTATTGAGTGGACTGTTTTTGTATTAAATTGACTAGAAAGTTTGAGTTAAATGTATTATCTATGCTGGTAAGTGCACTGCGAAATTCGGTTAAGATAATTGAGTCTTTGATATTGTTTTCTTGAATATATTCAAGTGCCTTCAGTTATGTATATAAAGAAATTTTTTAGTAACTTATAGGTCTTATAGGAATTTTCAAGTATCATAGATAATTCTACTCCTTTTTCCATCTTAGATGCATCAGTGTATAATTTGTTCCAGTTTTGGTAATTGTTCATAAGTTCTATAAATTTGTTATTGTAAATTATTTGAGGGGTTGAGGTTTTAGCAAGTGGTGTAGTTCATAGTTGATATCTAATATATTTACCATGCTGGGAATTTTAATTTATCAGTTCTTATAATTTTAAGAGGGGGAATGCCAGATTTATAACTTATACATACTATAGCACTTGATTTGAATGCTCCTAGAGCATAATGTATGCCAGCATTGTGCATAGTGTTAAGTAGTTGATTATATTAGAGAAGGTATAGCAAAAGACAAAGGATCCATCTCCAATTTAAAAAGAATTAGTGATTTATAATTGGTAAATAATGTTTTCGTAGAAGCACCCCATTTAGAGAGTATGTGCAATAAATTTGATTAGGTTGAGTTTAGTAACAGATTTTTTCTTTTAGATTACTCTCATGTTGCTTCCAGCTGCATTTGTGGACGAATGTAAAAAGTTATTTTACTTTATATTAAAATAGTTATTTTTTTCTTTATTATTAAAAAAATTTTTGTTAAAAAGTAAAAAAAATTTTCTATAGATTTAAATAATACTGGAGATTCAAGAGGATATCGAAGTGCGGAAGAACGAGCTCGTGATATAACAATAAGCTTAAAACGAGAAGTTACCAGAGTATCAGATCAATGGAATTCTCTCCTTAACCGTTCAGACAAATGGCAGCAAAGTTTAGAAGAAGCAATCACAGTAAGTCTAAAATAATTTTATTATAATAACACTATGATTCTTTACTACAGAATTTGTGTTTGATCAGCCAAAAGTAAATTATTTTAATATTTAAAAAAACCCAGCACAGGGGGGTCGCGGCACAGTGGTGACGTGGCATAGTTGGATCAAGTATAATGATATCTGACAGTGATTAAAATCACTATCAAAAATAAACGCTTCGATGCAAATCTTTAGATAGTGTTTAATTTTNTGGTAATAGTCCATTTGTATACTTTTCAGGAGAACAAAAATAAAGTTATAAATTTTTATTTTTTTAATGGTAATACAAAACTAGATACTTAAATATTAGAAAAATGAAAACATTTTTTATCAAATGGATTTCATTACTTAATGTTACAGCTTATGGGTAATCAAATCTAACCATAAGATCAAAATTAATATAAAGGACTATTAACATTTTTCCCTTTACACTTCATTTTATAAAAGTTGTTTTTTTTTTTGTCATTAATATTTTTTAATTTTTACACACCTATTATGTAGGTATTAATATAAACGCTAAACAGCTCTGGGTAATAAACTATTTTTACATAATAGCCATGTGTTATTAGTACAGTAGCCAATAATTGATTTATATTTAATTTTGTACAACAAGCCAATTTGTAGTTTGTAAGTTCTTTTATGATCATTTTATTATTTTCTTAACAGAAAATGCAAGTATTTCAAAAAAGTTTAGAAGATAGTTCTTCAAAGCTTGCCAGTTTAGAGACTATGTATAAATCATGTTCGATTTCAAATCATGGTGATTCAACAAGATGCCTGCAAGAACTTAGAGTAAGTTTAAAAGTACATTATTTATACTATATTTGCTCACAATTTAAAATTAACTGGGGTCGTATTATTAACAATAAAATATAGTATAATATTTAAAGGTTAATAAATAAATTCAGTAGTATATTTTCAAATAATTGTAAGGTTTTACATAAGAAAAAACTTTTTTACTTCCTTTAAATTATATCAAAATTAGGAATTTTTTATTTTGAAGTGTTTTAATCCAAGAACCACTTCTTTCATTAATACGAATACATAAAAGTGTTTGTTAAGTTCAACCTCAATAAAAGTACACCTTAATCATATATTTATATTTAAATATTATTTTTATTAGCAATTTGGAGACAAATTAAATCCAATACAACAACGAATAGAAGACTTAAATGATCAAGCTAGTTTACTGTCATCAAAAAATTTTACTATATCAATGTCAAATAAAAATTTGTTGCATGAAATTAACAATAGGTGAGCCAAATATGCAATATTTTATAGATAATATGTATTTCATTTGTTTATTTTAGTAATTTAAAATTCTTTTTTATTACTTGATAGGTGGAAAACATTACAGCTTTCCATGGATGATAAGTACAAACAGATTCGTGATAATGGTAAAATTGGTTCAAGTAATAGCAATGGAACATCACCTGCAAGTTATAGTGAACCATCTACTTCTTTGTTATTAAGTGGTTCTGTGGAGCCTCCTTGGGAAAGAGCTACTACTTCTAACAAAGTGCCATACTACATAAAGTAATGAATAAAACATAATAAACTTAAAAGTGCTAGAAATGTTAAAAAACTTAATATAATTACTCTAGCCATCAATGTGAATCAACCAACTGGGATCATCCTAAAATGGTTGATCTTATGTCTTCTTTATCAGACTTCAACAATGTAAGATTTTCAGCCTACAGAACAGCTATGAAATTACGTAGAGTTCAAAAACAAATGTCTTGTAAGTATTTTTGTTTTTAAGGAAATAACATATTTTATAACTATATAATAACTATCTAATGTAATGTGTAATGTTTTGTAATAAAGTTTTTAAACTAAGAGATTAAAACAAAAATTAGTTTTGACACAAATTTGGGAATATTTTAGGAAGGGTAAAAATAACATTTTTTTTAAATGTTTTTTTTTTTGTATTATTTTTAGTGAAAAAAAATTAGTTAATTTCTTGAATTTTGAGATGGGAGAACACATGAATTTTCGATAATAAAAATATTAAATAATTGTTTATTACTTAAATTATGTGATAATAATCCATTAAGATGTGTTTAATTTTAAATTATTGTCATTGAATTTTTTTGCATAAATGCATATTTTAATAATTTTACAACAACATTATTAATATTAATCTGTTTTAGTACATTTATTATCTCTGGAAGCTGCTGTTGAAGCTTTTGATAATCATGGACTACGTGCTCAAAATGATAAATTAATATCTGTTTCTGAAATGCTTACAATTTTAGGATCGATTTTTGATACTCTAGCATCCCAGCATCCATCTTTAGTTCATGTTCCATTATGTCTTGATTTATCTCTGAATTGGCTGTTAAATGTGTATGATAGGTAAGTATTTTTATTTAAGCATTTTATTTTTAATTTCAATTGTTAATATTTTTTAGCCAAAGAACTGGTCAAATTCGTGTACTGTCATTTAAAGTTGGCTTGGTACTTTTATGTAAAGGACATTTAGAAGAAAAATATCGATACTTGTTTAGGCTAATAGCTGATCCAAATAGACAAGTTGATCAACGCAAATTAGGTCTTTTGATACATGACTGTATTCAATTGCCCAGACAATTAGGTGAAATTGCATCTTTTGGGGGTTCAAATATTGAACCATCAGTGAGAAGTTGTTTTCAAAAAGCTGGTAAAGATAAAAATGTCATTGAAGTAAGTTTCAAAAATTTTTTTTATTTAATATATATACAGATTCATTTTTAAATTATTTTTTGTTTACAAATTAGGCTATGCATTTCTTAGTTTGGTTACAACAAGAACCACAAAGTATGGTTTGGCTAGCTGTTTTACACAGATTAGCAGAATCTGAGTCAGCTAAACATCAAGCTAAATGTAACACTTGCAAAGCTTATCCAATCATAGGTTTCAGATATCGTTGTCTCAAATGTTTTAATTTTGACATGTGCCAGACATGTTTCTTTTCTGGTTGTAAAGCAAAACATCACAAGTTAACTCATCCTATGCAAGAGTACTGCTCAACAACTACATCAGGCGAAGATGTACGTGACTTCACTCGTGCTTTGCGTAACAAATTTAAATCAAAACGATACTTCAAAAAACACCCTCGAGTTGGTTATTTACCTGTTCAATCAGTATTAGAAGGTGATGCTTTTGAAAGTCCTTCTCCTTCACCACAACATTCCAATACTTCTTCCACACTACCTGATGTGCACAACCGTTTAGAAATGTATGCATCACGTTTAGCAGAAGTTGAATACAGAACACGAAGTAATTCTACACCAGATTCGTAAGTATTGAAAAAAATTTTTTTATTTTTTTTTTTAATAATCATCATTTTATAGGGAAGATGAACATCAATTAATAGCTCAATATTGTCATTCTTTAAATGGTACTGGATCTGAAGCATTGTCATCACTTCCCAGAAGTCCTGTTCAGATTATGGTTGCTATAGATGCAGACCAAAAACAAGAATTAGAAACTATGATTAAGTAAATATCTATATCAATTCAAAGTATTATAAAAATATTTTTTTACTGTTGGAAACATGAAAGCTTAGGAATAATTATGCCAATAGACTCGGTTTGAACTCAGGTAGAGACCTTGCTGTCTAGGCAAAAGCTTTCTTACTAAGCTTCCTGGTGGTTATACTTAATCCTCCACTCCTAAGTTTCTTAAATGGTTTATAATACTCTGTTATTTAATTTTCAATTTTTATTTTATTAGAGAACTAGAAAATGAGAATTCTCATTTACAAGAAGAATATGAAAAACTTAAAACCGGTTCTGGTAATAAACTACCTCTCAATATAATAACATCTAATAGAAATGGTGAAATTGATATGGTATCAGAAGCAAAAATGTTACGTNAAATTGATATGGTATCAGAAGCAAAAATGTTACGTCAACATAAAGGTCGTTTAGAAGCACGTATGCAGATATTAGAAGACCATAATAGACAACTTGAAGCCCAACTTCAAAGACTTAGGCAGTTGCTTGAAGAAGTATATTTAAATACAGAAATAATTAATTATCATACATATTTATAGTTAAATATTTAATTTAATACATAATCATTATTATAGCATTTAATTATTTTAAAATCACTATTGTGAAACATTAATACATTTTTAATATTTTTAGCCTGCTACATTACAAACAAGATCAGTTACAGCTTCTCAACTTGTTAATGATTCTTCATATCAATACTCCAAAGACTCACCAGGTATACTGAAATACAATTACTAAATGCTACATAATTTTACATTATTTAATAAAACAACAAAATTTATTTTTACAGGAAACACTGGTCGGAATACTTTAGAGAGACCTCCTCCGCCACCCATATCATCAACCCAACATTCAGTTGGTAATCTACATCATATGGCTGGTAAGTTTTAAAAGTATTTATGTAACTTACCCTATGTTAAGTGTAAAAAGGAATATTACTTAGAATTTAAACTTAGACTAATTTTTATGAGAACTATTTTACAATTAACTCTTAAGTATAACATTAATAATATATAATATATATTACATTAAAATATATATATTTTGCGTTTATTAATAGAAAGTATACTAATTTATCACTTTATTATTAAAAGGTATGGTTGGTTAATTGATTTATCATAAATCACTCAATTACTCTCAAAATAAATACAATATTGAAAAAAAAATTTGCTTTTTTGTTAGTTATGTATTTTTATTTATTTACCAACTAATAATTACTTTTTACAATCATCCCTTAAAACTTNCTAATAATTACTTTTTACAATCATCCCTTAAAACTTAAAGGGGTGTCAACTTTATTTTTTTTAATGGCAATATACATATGTAACAAGCTTATAAAATAGGAAATAATGTAATTAAGAAAATTACTGGTCAATAACAATTTTTGGACCACTACTTTAGAAGTTGTTCTCATTTTTATACTAAGGAGGGATGAAGAGTACAGCTGGGAAATAACTAATGAAAAAAATATCAATACCCACTCCTCCAAAAATTGATATTGACCAATTATATTCTTAATTACATTATTACCTATTTCATAAGCTAATTAAATATGTATGTTGATATTTAAAAAAATAAAGTTGACATAGCTAGTCTTACTATAGTCTTAAAGAACTTCGAGGGAGTATAACATGTAAAAATGAAAAATGAATAAAAAAACAACTGATTTTATAAAAAATTAATTATATTTATTCATAATAACCAATTCACCAATTCAATTTATGTTTAATTTAAACCAATAATCAATATTTGTAAAAATTTTCACTTTTGTCTACTGTCCTAAGACAATAATTTATGTTTCAATATTCTAATTATNTGTCCTAAGACAGTAATTTATGTTTCAATACTCTATTTATTTTGAGAGAAATCGAGTAGTTTATGATAAACCAATTACTGTGTATATACTTTTAAAAATCTTTTCATGACTTATATTAAATTATTTGATCTTACTTACATTTAAAATTTATATTATTTAGCTAATCGTGGAAATGGAAAAAAATAGGTTTGTATATTGAAATTTAATTATGTTTTATATATTTTTATACATTTATATATTTTGTTTAATTGGGAATCTAACACAAACCTAACTTTTTAAACCAATAAACGTCTGTTGATCAATATATATAATTGGCAATTATAACTCACTTTAAATATTTATAGCTGTTTTATTAATATTTTATACATATTATCATACCAGGTGATTTAGGAAAAGTTGTATCAGAACTTGTAACTGTCATGACTACTGAAGAAAACAAAATATATAAA